CGCCACGCATGGCAACATGTGGGTGGATGTTTAGTTCCCAGAGAAAGTAACTGAAAATACAGAACCTTCCCTGGAAGGTCCCCTTACCACGTACAGGAATTCACTTCGAGGGGCATACCTGTCATACCATGTGCATTAGGAGTAATGTACCTTCTTCTTGTATGTTGCAGTTGCATAAATATGGGGTGAGGGATGAGTTCACCCAGTCAGTCTGCTTGACAGTTCCCATGTCCAAATATGTCACAAGTAGTACTTTGATTTTAGCTCTCTGTAAATTTTCTCCAATGCTAGTCCATCATAACTCCAGGCTCACTCAAAATTTCATACCTGACTATGTCACTGGTATGTTGTATACACATCTGATGCCCCAATATACTTTCAACAGTGACTTAACATGTACACATCCCAGTCAGAATCCCTGAAAATTTGTCATGAATCTTAGTAATACACATACATATCACTCAAGCACTTCACAAATTAACATGGTGTCATTCCTGTCCACCAAGTTTGACAAAAAGATTAGCATGCAACACCTACCTATTGCACCACTAAGTCTTTCTGAAGTTGACTGTGTCTGAATATTTATGCCTTCATAGTCATACGAACTCTTCAAAATATGTGCTAAATTAATATCTGGATTTATGTACAGACCACTTGAAAAAAAGAGCAGAAAGAGAAAGACCTAAAAATGCAAAATTTTAGATTATTGAAAACTTCCTACAAAAGCTAACCATTAATTTTTGAAGAGTTTTTATTGAACACTTTAACAAAGGTTCACAAAAATGTTTAGACTGGAGAATACACATGCAACCATGCCTATTTTTATGTTCTTTAGATTGTATTATGTTAATATAAAAGACCAATAAAAAAAGTGTCATTTATCAACAAAGAAGCTCCAGTTGTCCTTGTCAACTTGCTTATACCCTACACAAAAGTTAACGTTTCCCTATACTGAAAATGATACCTCCTTTCACATAATAGCTTTTCTCAACTTGTACTGCCCTCTATATGCCCAATTTTTGTTTGTCACTAGCCATGATGCTCTCACCTATCCTCACGTAATTTCTCGTGATATGGTTGCACTGTAGCAACATAAATGAGCATGCAACAACCCTCCACCAACAGGAGTGTGACACACCTTCCTAGTGCAACTGACTCCATCTATACTGTAGAGCACTATTACCACTTCAAGATTAGGCAAAACAGATGCAAAGGAGGTGGGGAGGACAGGTGGGAAGTGTGATGAGAGATATCTATCAGAAATACATTTTCAGTGTAGAAAAATGTTAACTTACAATATGACACCTTGCCTCTTCTCACATAATGGCTAGAATCCCACATTGAAATGGTAGCGAGACCAGTGCAAAGGTTACAAAGATGAGCATCCTTCAGAAAGTGCCCAAAGATGTGATACCCTAATTTATAGGGTTACACCCATGAAAGACCACACCTCATCTGTACCAGGTATACTCTTCAACCTTTGTAAAGATAAGTGTTGCTAAATTTGGCAGGAAAG